ATAAATTAACAATGTGATTTGTTTTCATTTTTTGCTTTAGTTTAGTTAAGGCTAAATTTACAGTACTTAATACAATCAATAAATCAACTTATAATGTTATTCTATGACCTAACGTTAAACCTTTTTTAAAACTTTAAGTTTTCAGCACATTATTGTACCAAATGTCTACTAAAGTATATTAAAGTCAGGTTTTTGTGTACATCTGTTAAAATGAAGTGTGCGCGCATACGTATTTCGATAGTGATGTGCGCGCGCGCATTTTCAGGACAGACCGAAACTGAAAATATTGTAATAGATAAGATTAGCTACCTTGCAGCCATGACTTTGTTGGTTACATGATCCCTAATACATCATACCCATGCCATACAAATTAAACAAAAATATTGCCCTTAATCTCAGTAACTTCTAGTGTGTCCCATATGTACTTTATTTATAAAATTAGAGATTTTACCCAAATTATTTGTTCAGTTTTTTACGCAGATTGTTATAACAGGAAAGAGCATACAGTACACTGCTTGATGCAGTATAACATAACATAATGTTTAGGGACAACAAGAGACTTGTTGTTTTATCTTGGCTGTCCCATCCTCTAAACTAAACTAAAACTATTAAATAAAATTAATAAAACCAGTCCTTATCATTCATATAGTTATCAAACTTTCTCTTAAACTCACTTAAATCTGCTGCCTCCATAACATCATAAGGCAACCCGTTCCAAAGGCCAATCAGCCTGTTAGAAAAATAAAACTGTCTTAGCTGAAGTTGACTTCTACCCTACCAAAATTTATATTTGTCCCTTAGTCCTCCATTCTAACTATTAATCATAAAAAAAAGATTATGCATCAACACTATCAATTCCTTTAACAATCTTAAACACCTCAGTCAGATCCCCTCTAACTCTTCGTTTTTTCAAGAGAAACAATTTCAAAGATCTTAATCTCTCCTCGCACGTCTACTCCTCCATCCCAGGCACCATTCTAGTAACCCTTCTCTGAACCCTTTCCAACAATTCAATGTCCTTCTTAAGGTAAAGAACCCAAGACTGAACATAATACTCCAAATGTGGCTTAACCAGTGACCCATACAATGTAGTTATAAACATTTTAGACTTGTATTCAATATTTCTGTAGATACAACCTAAAATTCTATTTAAGATAATTTAGTGAGTTGGGCAAATAAGTTTTAAATGGGTTTTAGTTATAATAAATACAAGATAATTTAGTGAGTTGGGCAAATAAGTTGTAAATGGGTTTTAGTTATAATAAATGGAAGATAATACATGTGGGTATTCATAATTTGAATTATAAGTATAATTTGAATGGGAATAACCTTAATAGTGTCATGAAAGAACGGGATCTTAATGTAATGGTTGATTAGTCTCTTAAGCCATCTAAGCAGTGTGCTGTTGCTAGTGATAGGGCGTATTTATTATAACTAAAACCCATTTACAACTTATTTGCCCAACTCACTAAATGATCTAAATCCTTTTGTAAATTAGCAGCATCTCCTTCACTGCTAACAACACCCAAGACCTTAATATTATCAGAAACTTTAAGTAATGTGTTGACCATTCCTACATTTATGTCATTGATGTAAATCAAAAGGAGCAAAGGTCCTAAAACTGAGTCTTGAAGTACCCAACTTGTGACATTAATCCAGTATGACTGAACTCCATTTATAACAACCCTCTGCTTTCTTCCATCCAGCCACTCTTCTATCCAATCAGTTAACTTATTCTACACACCTACAGAGATAATTTTTAAACCCTTTTATGTGGTATCTTGTCAAATGCTTTCTGAAAATCTAGATACCCCAAATCTACGCCCTTACCTTCATCTACATAAATAGTGACCTTTGCAAAAAATGTCAAAAGATTTGTAAGGCAAGATTTTCCCTTAATGGAACCATATTGACTATTCAATGAAATTCTAAATTTGTTAAATGACTTTGTAAACTAACTTTTATCAGACTTTCCAAAACTTTTACCAAAACTGTAAGACTAATTGGTCTATAATTACTGGGACAATTTTTTATCACCTCCCTTGAAGAGAGGAGTTACATTAGCTAACTTCCAATTCTCTGGTACCTGCCCACTATTCAAGAATTTATAAAAAGAAAGTAGCAAGTGACTCACATATCCAATCCTTAACATCCTTCAAAATCCTGGGGGAAATATTGTCTGGCCCAGAAGCCTTATCATTCTTTAAACTAACCAATTTTTAAACAAGCTCAGAATTAATGCAATATTCTCATCTACCTTGTTTCCATCTATCAACTGTTAAAAAAAACTGAAAAAAGCAGAATTTAATAACCCAGCCATCTCATAACCATCAGATGCAAGCCTTTCTTTATCATCCCTCAAGGGTCCTACCCCTTCCCTCCGCATCCTAACATTTCGTTTACCCTTAATGTATTTAAAGAAATCTTTACTGTTAATTTTTACATTTTCCGCCAACCTTTTTTAATCCTTTTTGGTGTTCTAATTTCCTGTTTCACCAACTTTCTTGGTCTTTCACAATCTTCTAAGTTTCCCGTCATACCAATCAATTTAAATTTCTTAAATTTGTAATATTTTTCTTTAATTTTATCTCTTACACACATTGTGAGCCATCCTGGTTTGTACTTGCAGCCACCCGTTTCTTTCTATGAGAAATATGTTTATCTTGAATATTTATAAATTTATCTTTAAAATTTTTCAACATTTGATTATTGTCTCCAGATAACTCAATTAACAACAGATAATTCTTCAAAATTTACTTTTTTGAAATTTGTAACCAAAATATCATTATTCCTGTTCTCCATATGCAGCAAAGCATCAAACCTAATATAGAACCCAGATGTTCCCTAATTACCATCCTCTCAACCATTTCTATATCAGAAATTAACAATAAATCTAAAATAACATTTTTTCTAGTCGGTTTCTTGATCCATTGGTTAAGAAAACCATCTTGAACAGTTTCCATTATTTGAATTTCTAAATCTGTATGCCTGAAATTAAAATCCCCCGTAATGAAATCTTGATCTGAAATCTTAATCTCACTGTAAAGTTTCTCAATTTCATAAGTTTCATCTGGTGGTCTGTAACAAATTCCCACCAAAAACCTGATAGAAACCGAAATGGATTCAAGCTCCTTGCTATTATCTTTGATAACTTCAACTTCAACAGGATGTAACTCATATTTTACATATAAGGCCACTCCATCTCCTTTCTTTAGTACCCTGTTAAATAACCTATAGTCCGTATTTCAAAGAAACGTCTGTCATCAAAATCATTTACATTTAACCATGTTTCAGTTAATTCAATTATATCACAATTCTACATTCCTACCAGTGCTCTAAAGTCATCTATTTTATTTTTTATAATTCTAGCATTACAATAGCAACAATTAAGTCTATCCTTAGAACTATTTCTATACTCATTTCCCGTGTTAAACTTTTCTTTACATCTTTTTTTTACATTTAATTTCTCCTGACCCTAACCACTTTCTATTCCTAGTTTTAAACTTTCCTAACAGTCGAGTTAATAGCCATTGCAAACAAATCTCCCCTACTCTATATAAAATATAAACCATCCATTCCAAAAAGCTCCCTTCTCTCATTGAACTGATCCCACAAGTCCAACCAGCCAATCTGCTCATCCTTACATATTTACCTAAGCCTAGCATTTAGCCCTAGTGACCTACTTATAATTCCATCCCCACAATTAATTCTCGGCAATATCCCTGACACAATTAAGTTATGGCCTTTTTCTTTAAATGCTTTTATCAACCCCTTGTATTTATTAATTATCTCCTCTGATCTACCATTCCCTACATCATATATATAAAACAAAAACTTCATCATTTCTAGTCCCCTTTATTATATCTCTTACTCTGTCAGTTATATCCTCCACCTGTGCTTCTGGGTAGCATAATCTAATTCTTTTCTTCCTATTTACCCCACACTATCCTATCCGCATGCCTTGTCAAGGAATCACCTATAACTATAACCTTCTGAAGTTTATCATCTACATCCTTCTCTATCTCATTTGTTTTCTTCCCTTCATTAGTTCCTCGTCTGCTCAAGCCAAGAGCTGAAATCTGTTGCCCAATAGAATAGGCTAATTGCAATTAAATCCACTATATTTAGCCCTAATAGTACTTTTTCTTACTTCCTGAAAATCATTGTTAGCTGATGTATCCCTGGCATGTAAAAGCTAAAGCTCCTCTTAAAATCCTGCTGCCGTTTCCCACAGCTTACACTTTTCTTTTTCTATTGCCTCTACTTTAATTAGGATAGCCTCCAACTTCTCCTCTAACCTACAAACTCTGCATACAAGTTGCACATCTTCACTACTAGTTTCCTTAAAAGTGCATACCAGTCCCAAGTTCCCAAATAAAGCCCACTCATTGCACCCATCACACCTAATGAGCTGAACCTCACTAGTTGCGAATAGTATGTTTGTATGTTATCAATCTTTATATATAAAGAACAATTTGGTAAAAAATAAAGGAATCGACCTGTCTTATATATTATATAAAAATGATAATTTGAGGATTAAATTATATTATCGATAAACGAAGGTTACTCTATAGTACAAATAACCTATGATAACTATAATTTTTTCAAATTTTGCCAAAAACGTCTGCCATTTTCTGAAACCAAGGGGGGAAATTTCTATTAAACGAAGCAGTGAATGCAAGCGTGGTTTGCAGAAAATTAGTTAAGATTATTGTAATAACAATATATGCGAAAAATGAACAATTTGATTTAATATATCGCCAATAGTATACCCTAAAATTGTTGATTATAAGATACTGCAACCACTCAAAGTAAAATAAAAAATGAAAAAGCTCAGAATATTTTTAATCTCTTTCTCTTTTTGCCCTTTTAGTAAGACAGACGTGTATGTGTATATTTGTGTAAAACAAAAAACCTGCTTGTGCCACAAAATCGATCAAGGTTTTCATAAAAGAATCGTCGATTTGTTTTCTAATGTTAATGTATTATTGTTTATTCAGTTATACCAGTGTATGCGATGGACGCAACCACGGTGGTGTCACAACAGAACGGGACCATTCACAATTCGGTCCAGACAGTGAACATGGTTGATGATTGCAACACAAATTTGATCGTTAACTACCTGCCTCAGACCATGACCCAGGAGGAGATAAGGAGCTTATTCTCCAGTATTGGAGAAGTGGAATCATGCAAGCTCATCAGAGACAAGGTCACAGGTGAGACGTTAAGTGCTATGAACTTTCTTGTCTGAAGCTAACTAGCTAGTACACAATATATCTTGCCAGCAATAATTGAAATAATATTAATGCAATGGTGTAACGATTCACAATATACACAGACTATCAGTAAGAAAATACACACTCGCTCTAGAAAGCATGCTATTTTATCAAATAAACAGCCGTGAAATAAAGTATATAATATTACCATTAGTATTTAGTGGATTTGAATTTTGCATCGTTTAAGGTAGAAACACTGTTACATGTAACATTTGCTAGATTTGAAACCTGTGCCTGTGGAATTCCACTCCGCCGTTGGCAGCGACCTTGGTTCCACTTAGAAGCTGCTTGTTTGAGTAACAATCAAGTATTTACTACACGTGCTACATGGGTATCGTATCATGCGATTGGCCTGGTCTGGCCTCGGAAGAGTGGTAATTCTCTAACTATCAAGCCATCCTTTTGTGACTTGGACTGAATTAGCAGAAGCTCTTATATTGCACTATGACATTGCCTTGCCTGGAAAATTGGTCATTGGCGTAGACAGGTAGTAGGCCTTTCTCGAGAATGTGGTCTATCCAGTGATGGAAATGCGGTACACGCCGTGAATGTGGTCTATCCAGTGATGGAAATGGGGTACACGCCGTGAATGTGGTCTATCCAGTGGTGGAAATGGGGTACACGCCGTGAATGTGGTCTATCCAGTGATGAAAATGGGGTACACGCCGTGAATGTGGTCTATCCAGTGATGGAAATGGGGTACACGCCGTGAATGTGATCTATCCAGTGATGGAAATGGGGATACACGCATGTACACGCTGTGTACCTAGTTCTCAGTTTGCATTTTTTCCCCCATTGGTAAAGTTTAGTACAACTGAAGATGTTTGTTAACCCTATCGTCACGGGTCAAAGGTCATGTCATCACGTCTGTTGACTTGCATTCAAAATTTTATTGAACTACTATTTTATGAATTTATGTCAATAAGTTTGGTATCAAATTGTAGATTATAATTCAAATTTTATTATCATATATTAGTTAATTTCTTAATTTAAAAATAAATACTAAAAGAACACACCTAAATATCGATTTTATTTGTCACGTGGTGTATTGAATGCAGCATTGGTTCAAATTATATGTTTGTGATGTCCAAATACAAAGTCTAAAGTTTCTTATGAATTAGGAACTCAAACTACCGATACTGACAAGTTAGAATATAAAATAAGAACCTCCTATTATTTCTATTTGCTTTTTTATACCTACCACCCAACTGCTCCTTTTAAGCGTGTACCTAATTCCTAAAACCCATTTCCTGTCCTTGATGTATCGAGTAGTACACTTACGATCAACTGTGATCGTCCAGCAGCCCAAATTACACCCCACACCATAACAGAAATACAGCTGTATTTTATCACGAGTTGCGAACTGTTTAACAAAAGCTCCTGTGAGGGTAGTCGCCAAACCCACATGTATCCCCTCTCCAAGAATTATGTAAATTTGGATTTGTCAGGAAAAAAAATTGCCTCAAAAGACAGGATGGTATGATGGCATCTGTGATGTGCACTGCTATTGGAGCATGATGTTGCCTGAAGTGACTTCCGTCTAGCTATTCTGCCGTTGTAGACAATTCTACAAAGATAACTTGTGATGGTATTGGTGCATATACACTTATAACTGTCCAGCAACAGTAACTACCGTTTGACGTGGTGCAATTGTCATCACACCACAAAAAGGCCCATTCTGTTGGATTTGGGCTCATGGGCCGTGCAGAAACTGTTGTCTTTTAACATCACTGGAACTGCGTTGTTATCATGTTCACTATGAACAACGGGTATTGCAACTGACCTGGTGGTTTATAACTAATTTTCTATACACCTCCAAAGCTCAATTATGTGACCTTGTGAAAATACTGTTCATCCCAGGATCTTTTTTGCTAGTGGCACGGCTGTTTGTAGGTTTGGTCTTTACTGAGCTATAACTTTCTTTATACGTCGTAATTATTCGCGTATGACGTCATTTAGATGGTCGATTTCATTTATTTGTGGTGTCTGTTTACTTATCGGTAGACTGTATATATCACTGTAGTTACCTCTTTCGTTCCTGCCATATCTGGCTGGATGACTAGCCATATACCTGGTAACACGTTGAAGAAAAACCAAAAACCTTTAGTTATTTGATAGTATGTATAGTAGATTCTTAATCTTAGAATTACTCACTTAGAAACAATTTCCACGATAAATGTTTTTGGTCAATCAAATTTCGAAATGAACCGCATTTGAAAACTCGAAACTTAAAAAGTTAGTTGTGGTTTCAAAGTAAACTTGACATCTATACTCCTCTTGTGCTTGTTCCCATTTTTACATCCAAATCTCCTAAATGTTGTAAGTCGTTTAAAATGTTAATTAACTTTAGCTTATTAACTTGACGCACCATAATTTCACGTTGTTTCTAACTAATTAGTAAACCAAATAAAGCGGAAATCAAAATAGCTTGGTTAATTTTAACGATTATCTGGAATGCCACTTCTAAGCTGTGAAATTGTTTCCCCACTTTTACAAATCTCTTCATATTTAGCGAAATCCAACACTTGAATCGTATTTCAACAACATCTCTGAATAGTAAAGTCTCGTTACCTACTTCGTCCAGTTTTACAACTGGAGTCGCTTGGTTTTGAAGATGATTGACAGATCTGTTCTCATTCCATGGAAATACTATTGTCAATTATTGTTCATTTCCTCGTATCCTATAGAGTACTGTCATTCATCCCTATTGTACATGTTAACACCCTGACTAAACTCTGGAACAAAGTTTTCGTAATATCGAAAGCCCATCTGTTTGTTTCTATAATTCTATCAAATCGATATTGTGAACTGTTCTAATACTTCTTGCTAAAAACTACTAAAGGGTCATCGGTAGCGTAAAATTCTCACGATGGTACTGTATTCAGTCCATCAATCCAAATGTACTTCAAACATAAGACTTTCTTGTTCACTGTAGAGGTCTTGCTATTTCTGAAGTCGACAGACATAACTGGAGAGCTTATAGTTTTCTCGTCTCACGGCTTCTTATTCATAACCGTACTGATCACGTACTGATTAGTGAAATATGCTTTCAAATAATCTAGAAAACAAGAAGTTGAAGTTTGAATATTGTATGACATTTTTCAGTGGTTTGAATGACGTATGTGAATGTCGCATCGAGATTTGTTTACAAAGTAATTTTCAGTCTGTTCAAAATGTAGTTTTCAATTATTTGCTCATTATTGTTTTGTTTTTATTTGTTGTTGTTATTATCATTATTATAATTCTTAAGATATAGCTCCAAGTTTTGGCTGTTTCACATATTTCTGTGCTGGAGAAGAATTTGCCAGTTCAAGGAAATTAATGTCGATGACTCAAAAACTACTCTATAGACACTTTTTTTCTTTGGTTTTGAATCGTTAGATGCTTACAAGATAAACTGAACACGAGTTCATATCTTCACTTAAGTTTTTTGTTCTGATCAGATATCTTTCGGTTTTCATCAAATTAATGAAATTAATTTACAGTGTTAAATGTGTCCTTAAGGCTGAACAGGTTCGAATTAAAAATTGGGAGAAAAATTTGCAAAAGGAACTTGTGTCAACGTGTATCTCTAAACAAAAGTGTTAAGTGGAAACATGATGTACTTACACTGGTACAAAACTGTATCTTGGTTTTCCTTAGCGTTAAACAATATTGATAAAAATTCAAATTTCTGTTAATTGAATCGGAGTATATGTCAGTCTCAGTATAGTTAATGATTGGGAGCCAAATGCTTAACTTTCGAACTTAAATGTAAATGGGTGACTTTTTGGCGTTGTTAGTAAAGGATTGTGAGGAACTATGATTTTGGCATTAATAATAAGTGGTTATAATCATGTTTGAGTATCTACCCCTCCCCCCCCCCC